GATTCAAGCCGTGTTTCAAGTTGAGGAGGAGTTGATGACGTCGGAGGATGCATGAGTCCACATGCATTGGGGATTTGGTTAATTTGTTGCTTTGTTAAACAATTATTATTATTTGTCTTTTTCTTATGTTTTTTTGGTTAGGGTAATTGTCTTTTCCTTTTGGTCTTCGGTTAATTGAGAATTGGCTATTTAAGGCCTTGCTTGCTTTGTTTTGGGACACAAATTTTACCAATTAATTCAATTAGAACCCGATGTTTTTTTTCCAGTGGAGTCTGGCTTTCTCGTCAAGTTTGTGGTTTGCGAACTTGTTTATTGCAGAAGCTCTGTGCTAACGAGCTTGTTTGATTTTCCGACTGCGTCATTAAACACCCATTTGGCATCAATAGCCTTCTTCCAGGGTGGTAAAAACGTAAAATCCCAAGTTTGGTTAGCAATAAGAGCCCTAACCTCTTTGGTCATCGCCTCACGCCATCGTGCGTCTCGCATAACATGCAAGTAGTGTCGAGGCTCTGATACCATGTGATAAACCAGTTGCTCCCAATAACTCGATTTGTTGGGAGAAGGTTATGTTGGATCTTATACCACTCTCTAACACGCCCTCTTAAACGAAAGTCAACTCATGGGCTTGAAGTTTGCATGGGCTATCATCATACCATGTGCTTTAATCAAATGTTAATATTGGGGGTCGTGGAGATTCGAACACATGACCACTTGGTCAAACCAGCTCTGATACCATGTCAAATCTACTAAAACGCCGAAGCACATCACAACACAACTATTTACGTGGTTTCCCCGTTCTGTGAACAAGACTACTCCACAGAGAGCGAAACTCACAATTTATCTTATCAGTCTTTACAGTATGTGAGCTGCGCATAATACATGACTCGGCTGAACTTACTCCTAATATACCCTGTCTACAGAGTTCCTAGGGTAATTAGGTTAAGATGGAAAATAACAGGAAGAGTTCTCAAAAACAAAATATATACAAGCAGATACATGGTTCAACATAAGTGGGTATTTATAGGACGGGTATAACTAAACCCAAACCCAACCCGGTGAATATTTAACGGATTTAAATCCGAACCCGGTCCAAAACCCGTCAACACATGTTTTACCCGCATTGACTGGGTTGGGTCGGGTAGGGTACCCGTGGGTTCGGGTTTTGTTGCCATCCCTAGGTGCATATCAGCTCCATCCATCAATCCATACTTATTTCTCATTTAAATGTAACGTACGGGTTATGTTTTATTTGATTTAACACAATTTTTTACAATATGCATACCACAATATGGTATTACAAGTTATCCAATGGTTGATAGTGGCTGCAGATCGGCTCCATCCATCTATCCATGCTTATTTCTCATTTAAATGTAACGCATGTTATGGTTAATTTGATTTAAATCAATTTTTTTTATAATATGCATACCACAATTTTTTGTAATATGCAATGTTGTGGCTGACTTTTTGGCCTCTACCGGGGATTAGTTACATGTGGGTGTTCATGTTTATGATCCGCCGCGACTTAATTATTGGTTGTACTATGACTTAATCGAGATTCAGTTCCCCGTGTGATTAATGCATAAGGGTTAGAGTGTCCTTCTACGCTCTATTTCCTTAAAAAAAAAAGTTATCCAAGGGTTGATAGTGGGTGCAGATTAGCTCCATACACCTATCCATACTTATTTCTCATTTAAATGTAACATACGAGTTATGTTTAATTTGATTTAACTCAATTTTTTACAATATGCATACCACGATATGTTATTACAAGTTATTTAAGGGCTGATAGTGGGTGCAGATTAGCTCTACCCACTATCCATGCTTATTTCTCAATTAAATATAATGTACGAGTTATGTTTAATTTGATTTAAATAATTTTTTTTATAAAATAGTCATATCGATATATTATGCACAATAACATCTATTTTGACACACTTTGGAGTAAAAAATAAAATGGTAATCAATATATTTTATCTTTTTCGTTGTTATAGGGGTGATATAGGTTGATTTTTATAATTAGGTTTTACTGCAAGTATTCAAACCTAAAACCTCCATGTTCAAAATTAATGGTATTATTATTATTAGACCAAACCCTCATTCAAGTAGCAGCATTCAGGCCGATGGTAAGACAACCTAGTTGGTAAAAGGGCTGGGTTTCGAGTTTGGGATGTGGCAAGGTCCCAGGTTCGAATCCCAGTACCAGCTTCTTGGTGTTCCCGGATGCACCCTTGGTACAGGAGACGAAGTCTCCCCGATAATGGTAGCACAACGCCGGGCACTGCGCCGGGACAAAGTCCTTGATGGTTAGTATGCAGGTACCCCAAGTTTAGTAGGCTTCGCTGTTACTCATGTGGCTTGTGGGTTGCTGATGTTCCTGGGTTATCAAATAAAAAAAAAGTAGCAGCATTCAGGCCAGAAGTTAGGTTGCTCTAGAACCTTTTTCTTACCGATTCCAATTTGTTTTCCATTCTCGGCTCCCCATGGCTTACCTTCTTCAAACAAAGGATTTGCCCCCGCAACCACAAGGCTTTCCAAACACAATTTGCATTAGGATTAGAACTAGCTTCCATAATCAAAGATGCAACATAGTACTTAGTCGTAAGTATAGTGGAGACACTAGAGCATTGGTTCTAGAAGAGATTAAACAAAGCTATCGAGTGAGAGGAGTTTTTTTTTTTTTTTTTTAAGGTCTTAACTCCTGGAAACCCATCCCCCAAATTATTTCTCATTGCATTTTTTGTCACGACTAATCCAATGCATTCTTCTTTCTTCCTTTTTCTGTCCCATCAAAAGCTGGCAATAAGCCTATGGATCTCTTGAATGAGAACATCTAGTATTTGAAAAATTAACATAAAGCAAGTAACTAGCAAGTAGCACAAGCTTTGATTAGAATTTCTTTGTACTAATACCACTACAATACTCCAACTATAAAAAATGTCACTTGTGTCAACTAGTAATATACTATCTTTTTCTAATATTAAATTGGTATGTTAGCAATTGTTTTAATTAACTAAACTATCTAACAAAAGCAGTGAAATTCAGCACAGGAAAATTGCATGCTTAAGCAATTATTTTTCGGAATGCATTAATCAGACTTCGAATCCCCCTAGCTAATTTGTAATACATAAATTGAACATATATAGACCCGATGTTATCTTTCTTTGACAATAGGAATTCTCAATTTAATATTAACCCGATCTTCTCGTGTATGAATACCATATTAGTCGATTCCGTCTAGATATATTTGATATTCTCTTTGACATAAATTCAACTAACTAAAGCAATAATTGGTCTATAAATTCACCAAAGGGCGTTCTATCATGCATATGGGGATATTCTCCTCGTCATACATATGAAACAATCAACGATTGGTGCGCAACTATCAGATACTCGTATGATAAATCAACGATGAATCAACATACACAAACATCAATATCCATAATAATCAATCAAATCAGTACGCCATAACTAGGGTGCATCTAATCCAAGCAACAGAGAATGATTAGTTCATGAATAATGAAGAAACAAACAAAGGAGAGAAAGAAGAATCCATCTTCATGGTGGAAGTCTTGATTGATTGCTCCAAGATGACTCCTCAGGGGTAGAGCTGTTGCATGTTGGAAAATCCCTCTTTTATGCCCTCTAGCTCGTATATAGTGTTTTAGGTTTAGTATGGTCGAACACCTTCAGAAAATACTTTAAACGACTTAAATAGCGAAGACAGATGACCGCCCACGACCTGTGCCACGCTTGGGGCTATCCGTGGATAGAGCCCGAGCCCAATTCTGAAGAAAAAACATTGCCTTAACTTGCTAACTTTAGGACAATAAAAATATCAAGTCAAAATTAATTGGTTGATAGGGTGTTAATACATGAGAACATCGTGTTAACACCAAATTGAAAGTTTTCACGATGTGGAAAAGAACATCGTGTCTATATTTTTGTTTGGTCAATGCATGATATCTAACTAGGGGAATTTGTATCCGAACAACACATTTTCCACTTGAATCTTGTGCTTTAGATATTTCACTTCTTAGTTGTTTTCTTGTTATTTTTAATTTAAAGGAGTTTAAATCATTTGTTTAATAGAACCCTCAGAATTACTCCAGAATTGAAAAAGAATATGCAACTCACAATGCAATAATTGTCATTTAATCTGTGTCTTAATTTGTAGGGAATATTTGAGTCGAAACCTACATCAGTAGTGCCAAAGGAGGGAGAGGGTGACCTAACAATGGAGAGGGGCTCATATTGTATAGGGCTTATCAAAACCCAATTTTGGGGAGATGCGTTTGGCATTTTCTTGTCAGAAATTGACACTGGATGGAAGGAAGAAGTATTTTATATTTTTTTTATTTTGTTTGACTATTAATTATATAAAAAATTCCAAGAAGCAAAAGATGGTCAATCTGGCTCCTGCCACATCCAGCGGTAATGCGATCTTCAAAGCAGCTTTTGGTTTACGTCCAAAACATTTGAATTGCGTAAATGTACTTATTCGCAGAACCTTGTTTGGCTGTTCCTTCTTTTGGATGTCAACTTTTTTTTTTTTGGTAAGAGGATGTCAACTTTTAAGAGTGGCTTCATTGCATGATAAGTTTTTGTTTTTTGATAATCGATATGTAGTTTTGGAAATGGGTTAATTGCATGGTTGGTAACTGAGATTAAAAAAATGTTTATATTTGGTCACAGTAAATATTTAAATCCAATCTTGGTCACTCAAATTAGTTAAATGGTTCAAGTTTGGTCACTCTCCGTCCAACTCCGTTAAATTTGTCGGATGTGGCAGTCAACCCTCAAAGTTGACCGTTAACTCAATGACGTGGCAATTAAAAAATAATAAATAAAATAAATTTTAATCTTCTATCATTTCCAACTCATTTTCACAATAAAGTAAAATAAATAAAACAAAAAAATATTATAATTACAAATTGAAAAGGGGCTCTTGCTCCGCCACTACATTCATTCCCCGCAACCAAATCAGCTCCTAATTCCCATCCCTAGCTCCGCCTGCTGCCGCCGTAATTCCCATCCCTAGCTCCTACCATCAGCTGTTGCATGGGCGCCGACTGTAACCTCCGGGGCCCCATCCCGGACTCGCTCGCCCGGTTGCCCAAGCTGCAGAATCTCGACCTCACCAACAACCGCCTCACCGGTTCCATTCCGCCCTCCTTCACTCGTTTCACCAGCATAGTCCAGATTGAGCTCTACAACAACTCTCTCACCGGCGCTCTGCCCCAGGGCTTCTCCAATCTCACGACCTTGAGGCCTTTCGACGCCTCCGTGAACGACTTGATCGGGACCATTCCCGACGAGCTCTGTGGGTTGGACCTCGAGTCGCTCAATTTGTTCGAGAATCGGATTCAAGGGAGCCTGCCTGAGAGTATAGCCAGCTCCCCCAACTTGTACGAGCTCAAGCTCTTCAATAATCAGATGAACAGGACTCTGCCCGCTCGACTCGGTCTCAACTCCCCGTTGATGCGGCTGGACGTCTCCTACAATGGCTTCTCTGGTGGGATCCCACCGAATTTGAGCGCCAAAGGACTGCTTGACGATCTGATTCTCATCCACAATTCTTTCTCCGGGAACATCCCGGAACATCTCGAGAAATGTCGTAGCTTGGGTCGAGTTCGATTGAGGAACAACCGCTTGTCCGGGCCGCTCCCCGACGACATGTGGGGACTACCCGGGATGTACTTGCTTGAGCTCGACGGGAATTCCTTAACCGGCCAAATCTCCAGGAAAGTTTCCTCTGCTTTTAACCTCTCACTTCTGCTTATGTCGAGGAACTAGTTTTCAGGTCCTATACCTGTCGAGCTGGGATTTTTGGGGAATTTGATTGAATTCGCGGCCAGCCATAATCGACTCAGTGGCCGAATCCCGCAGAGTTTGGCGCAGATGAATCAACTCGGCAGGCTGGTTCTAAGCAGCAATGAATTGTCCGGGGAGTTTCCCGCCTGAGCTCAAGGTTGGAACAGCTTGTTTGAGCTCAATTTGGCCAACAACAACTTGTCCGGCCAAATCCCAGCCGGGCTAGGAAGCTTGTCGGTGCTCAACTATCTTGATCTTTCAGGGAACCGGTTTTCAGGCAAAATCCCAACAGATCTCCAGAAGTAGAGCTGGGGTTTTTGGGGAATTAGTGGCGAGGAAGCGCCCCTTTTCAATTTGTAATTATAATATTTTTTTGTTTTATTTATTTTACCTTTAATGTAAAAATGAGTTGGAAATGGTAGAAGATTAAAATTTATTTTATTTATTATTTTTTAATTGCCACGTCACTGAGTTAATGGTCAACTTTGAGGGTTGACTGCCACATCAGACAAATTTAACGGAGTTGGACGGAGAGTGACCAAATTTGAACCATTTAACTAATTTGAGTGACCAAGATTGGATTTAAATATTTACAGTGACCAAACATGAACGTTTTTGTAATCTCAGTGACCAACCATGCAATTAACCCTTTTGGAAATGGTATTTGTCAAATTTGTTATTTATTATTAATTATCACACAATAGTTATTATATCATCGTGTTATTTGTTTTGTGGTATTTGTATGAAATATCAAAATTGATTATAAGTAATGATAATGTTGATGTGGTATTTGCACTCAAATTGGTTATTTTACTAATTTGTCCTTTTTAATCTCATCTCTTGCTCGCTTGGTCAGCGTGTACATAGTTTTAACTTTTATACGTAATTTTGATGTAATAGTGTATTTACAAGATTTACATTAGTCCTTATAAAAAAAATTCATATTAGTAATAAAGTATTGAAATTGTAGAATTTAAAAGGTATTAATATGTACGGAGTTTATGCGTTGTTTTAATACACTCTATTTGGGAAGAGGGGTAAATGGGAGGAGGGTGTAAATGTGAGGGGTAAACACAGTTCCCAACACATTTGCACCTGTTTGGTTAATTTGGAACAATAGGGGTGCAAAACGAGAGTGCAAATTTACTGTTTCGGCTTACCCCCAAATTGGGGTGCAAAAGAAGGAAGGAAGAGAGAGGGAGGTGGAAATTATGTTTTTCTAATTATGTTATATATAATTAATTAATTATACAATAATTAATATTATCAATTAATTTTTTTATAAATATCATTAATGTAGACATTATTCGGGGTTGATCATTTGACTCCGGAAACAAGTTTATCAATGTCCGTCAAGTCAAATCTAGATCTCTTGGTTGACTCGAACTTGCATTGAAAATTAGAGATATGAAGTGTTTGTGGAAAAGATAGAGAGAAATTGTTTGATTAACTCAGTTTATTTGACACGAAAACCATTTATAGAATGACCAGTTACGAGTTGAGCTTCGAATTTTGAGATGGCTCGATCAATGATTATTACGATTGTTATAATTAATTATTATTTGAGCATTATTATATAATAATAATTTTTATTAAAGTATATTTATTATTATATAATAAAATTTATTTTATTATTTTGTGATAATGTTTTATAATTTTAATAAATCTATTTTATAATAAGTGAGTGAAGGTGGATTCAAACTAAAACAGAAAGAAAGCAGTAAATTGTTCGGTTTTCTGAAGCAAGAGAAGAGTCACTCGGGCATATCATCCCCCTAGCTCCTTAGTTAGGTTCAAGTTGTAATTTCCTTTGATTGATTCACTGTTGGTTAAACTGCGAATGATCCGAAAGTAGTTTGAAATCTCTTAAGCTGACCACGCCCTCTCAGACAGACTAACCGACAGACGACTAGTCTTCACCGGGATAGAATGCTAAAACAATTAACACAGAACTCCATTACTGGAAACAGATCCCAGTACAAAGCAGTGAATTGACTGACTCTCGTACAATCAATTCACTCCTATCGATTGAAGAAACTCTAACAACCTAGTCAAATTCTATCTATCACAGGCTGAAGCAGAAATCAAGAGAAGTTGATCATGATTCAATTGACTCAATAAACACACTTCAATCGATTAAAACCAATCAGTAACACATGGAACTAGGGTTCTTCATACCCAAGTGGGTGAAAGGTCTACTCCATAGAGAGAGAGAAACAGAAATCTAAGCAGTCATACTTATAAAGATGGAAATAATTTGCTATGGGATGTTAATCTTCACTCCTAAGGATGCAATCTGGGTTTCAATGGTGAGAAATCCACTCCAAATAACTCCTAAGGTTTGTTCTTCGCACTTTCTCTCTCTAGAACTATGTTTTTGCTCCAAAAAGTTGAATCCCCTTCCTTTGGCTCGAATATGCCTCTTCAACCCAATTCTGGGCGAAATATGGGCAAGAATACAGTCGTAATTCTTCCCTGCCCGTATTTTGCCCAAAACACGCGTTTTGGTTAATTTGATGCGTAGAAATCCACGGTCGCGTCTGGAAAAATAGTGACAGTATTTTGAAAATTACCGGCATTATTTTGCAAATTACTATCGTATTTCGTCTTCGTCTGCCCATAATTTGCTTTCCTTCAACATTCTTCAAGGGCTAGCCTCGGCCATAAAAATACGAGCTGGACACTGGAGAAATACGGTCGTATTTTTGGGAACCTTGACTGTAATTCTCACCTGAGCCTTCATCATGCTCGACATAAAAAATATCGGCAATAATTTGTGATTACGTTCGTACTTTAGGGAAGGCTATCCGTATTTCTTTCTCAGCTCCGCTTTTGAGAGGCTTTTGAGTGACCAAACGACTTCCGATTGACCCAAAATTTGCGCCTATGCCTCCCTTTATTCGCTAGGATCTGAAATACGACAAAATAACACAATCTAGCGTAAAATAGACCAAGAGACCACAAATTCGAGCCAAAAACAGTTAAGAAATAAGGGTGCAAACATGTGCAAATATGATGCTATTAATATGACACGATTGATATTGGTTCGAGGTTAGTTCGTTTGAGTTCGTAATGATCCATATTGATTCAAGGTTGGTTTGATTTGGTCTGTCACGATCAATGTAGTTTTAGAGTAGATCGCTCCTCTTTCCAGTAAATCATCACACAGATCGCTTGACATTAAAGCGAACCACGCCAATTCCCCCATATGGAACCAACCTTCGTTTTTCTCTTCGGAGGATAAACGCATTAACTTTTTTCATTTTTTTTTAAAAGGGTGCAAGCACCACTACCTCAAATTAAGAAATCGAACGGACTACAAATCCTCCAACCGAGTCATACAAAAGCCAACGATCAATGTCAGGATCGGTAAATGAAGTACAAGTAGAGCCTGGGTCTAACAGGTGACCCTTATGAGCTAAACAATCAGCCAGGAAGTTCGCCTCTCTGTAGATGTGCTGCACCTTCACCTCCCAGTCCCTCTCTTGCAAGTCACGAAAAGCTAACACAAGGCTAGCATGCTGGTGGCTGGTCGGAGAGTCCGGCGAGAGGAGATGGAATGCCGTCATGGAGTCAAGCTGAAGCTCGACCTTTTTGTGGCCGGTATCCCACGCCATCTGAAGTCCCTTGAGTGCTCCCCATAGCTCCGCGTGAGTGATTGTGCATCTCCCCAGGTTCATCGAGTAAGCACCTAGTAAGCGACCCTGCCCATCTCGAAGCACCCCTCCTGCAGCGGCTGACCCTGATGGTTGCAGTACAGAGCCATCAGAGTTCACTGTGAGCCATCCTGTCGGGGCCGGTCTCCACCCAACAGCCATGTCTCGACTCGACCCCGACCTCCCCAGTGTAATAACGTGGTCCGCTGCTTTACTTTTTTGTGCAATGATCTCCCAGGCTAGGATCTTTTGCGTAAGCTTACTAGGTGCCTCCTTGATGTCTGAGAAGATGAAATCATTCCGCGAGCGCCATAGAAACCAACATGTAAATCCAAAGCGCACCTGTGTCTCGGGACTCGAAAGATAGTGCATGAACCAATCCTTAAAGGACCGGCGATCCGTGTGGGAGCTCACTGCCGAAGGCAAGCTCAGCTGCCAAACTTCCCTGGCGTAGCTGCAATTACGGAAGACGTGCTCTGATGTCTCGGCCACCTGATTGCAGCGCGCACAAGTTCCTGACGCCGAGAGATGCCGCCGCCTCCTTTCCTCATTGGTCAGCAACGAGCCATGCGCCATCAACCAGAGAAAGTGCCGGACGCGGTTCGGGCCCGGCCAACGCCACACCTTCGACCAGCCTTCGTGCGCCTCCTCTCCATGGATGTCAGCTGCCAGCTGGTACGCCGATCGGATAGTGAAGTTGCCCTTGTCTTCAAGGCCCCAGACCACTTCATCCTCTCCCCGTTCCGGGAATGGCGGAGGCATTCCAATAACCTGCAAAGTCAAATCCATCGGTAAGTACCGGGCAATTAAGTCGAAGTTCCACTGACCTGTTTCCAAAGTCATATCCGCCACCGTTGCTTCCGCAGGGAAGCCTTCCTTGCTCGTCCAGGCGTGGTCGCCCAGCACGCAGCCTCCGTCCGTCCATCTATCCGTCCAGAACAAGGTGGTCTTCCCATCCCACACACTCCACCGCAAGCCTTCCAGCATAGTACCCCAAACCCGGCGCACCCCTCGCCAAAGTTGAGAATAACGAGAGTGTCTCCGCAGCTCCACCCCTTCAGGACCCTCCCGCAGGTACTTTTCCTTGAGCACTCGGACCCAGAGTTCGTTCGGGTGCTTTAGAATTGTCCAGGCAAGCTTAAGGAAATAGGCTGTGTTCACTTCCCTTGCCGAGCGCAACCCAAGCCCCCCTTGATCTTTGGGAAGACAAATTGTCTCCCAACTCACCAGATGTATTCGGCGGCGACCTTGCTGAGACCCCCAAACAAAAGCTCTGATCTTCCTATCCAGGTAGTCACAAACACTAACAGGCAGCATCGCAGTTTGCATCGCGTAGGACGGGAGTGCATTGAGCACCGAGGTGGCCAGAGTTACTCGCCCTGCTAGGGATAGACTGTCCGCTTTCCAACCTGCAAGCCTCTGATCAACCTTGTCCATAATATATTTGTAAGTTTGCTTGGTAATGCGCCCATGCAGGACGGGAACGCCCAGGTACCTCCCCAGGTCCTGCGTCATCGGGATATCAAGGAGATCACTGATGTTCTTACAAGCTTCCCTGTTTAGGTGCTTAGAGAAGAAGATACGCGACTTCTCACGGCTAACCAACTCTCTCGAGGCTCCACAGAAGTCGTGCAAACATTTTAAGATCATCTCAGCTTGGCTAATGCTAGCTTCTGCAAACAAAACTAAGTCATCTGCAAAAAAGAGATGAGTTAGTTCCACACCCCCTCTCACTAGCTGGATCGGACGCCACTTCTTTTGCTGAACCAGGTCCTGGATAAGATGAGAA